ATAATGATCACTTATCATCAACAGAGATCCTATTGATAACAGCGATCAAGATCTAGCCAACACACAACTACTCATAACTAGAACCCGTGGCACCATCTATTGGGGTTGGTACCTTTAGAGCCCGCTTTCTCTGCAACGGTAAAAGACTAGATCTTGAAACCTATATATTCGTAATCAGCTCGACGAGATCTTTAATTTGATACCAAGTTTGACTATAAATTCAACGTCCTAAAAAATGGGGCACATCGCCTATGGGCGGTTGGCCGCACTCTTTCCTCCTCATTAGGTTGAAGGTATTTACATGTCAGATACATGTTTCTTGTAGGCTTGCTGGTAAATCCAGTTTCACTTGGAATATGTGCAACTAAATCTTTGAAGATAGTCGTATGACAATGAATCCTTTATTAGAAATGACGTGAATCAACTATTTATTGTGATGCACTGGAACGTCATAAGCCATAGCATGTCGTAATTTCGAACTACATGTCCTTCCACCAACACAGAGAAAAAATTAATCATGAACTCGCAAGAAGAACCAAAAGTGTTGGGTATCTTTGGGCTATTTGTTTCATAATCCACTCTTCATTCACCTCCTTCCTCCTCGTTATTCTCTAGGGGAAGATTTACGGATGGATGTGAAGAAACTGCCACAGGTTTTCGAAGATGGTGAGCGCCCCTCTTTGCTGGGAAGAATCTCATTCCGAGGGCGGGTGGATGTTTACTGGGATGATCACACCTTGCCCCTGTTGTGGGCGTTGGACAGGGCCTTGGCAAAGTTGCCGCCTCTCTCTCGAGGTATGCATGACACAGGTGTCAGGTATTATCACCTTTCTTTCCTTCAATTCATTTGTGAAAGTAAACGTCGAAGAATCTGAGACAAGATATGCGTTTATGCTTTATCCAAGATTTCTGAAGCAAGAAAAGCAATTAGCCTAGCCGTTGATTAGCCATTAATGTTATTCTCGCCGAACACTTGAGTAGAGACTCTACGCATGAAAACAATGAAAAATAGCACGATCTGTGCTGCTTGTGAAGAGCAGTAAATCTAAAATAAAGTGAAAATTCAGGCATACTTCCATGTCTGAACATGAAATTCTGAACGCGTTCTTGTTCTTAATTCGATATTATTCAAATAGAAGAATATAGGAAAGTAATTTAATAATGGTATTCCCGATGAATTTTGGCGAAAGTCCATTCAAATTCGGCAGCGCTCGTATGAATTTCGGCAGTGTTCCCTTCTCCTCCCGGTTATCCCATGCAATTTCGGTAGGTGAATTTCGATTTCGGCATTCGCCTTTTCAATTTCAGCAGCGCAAGGGAATACTTGTTTCTGATAATTAATATGGGAAAGAGGAATAGAGAAGGAAAGAGCACAAACGCCTAGGGCATTTTCGGCGAATGATCTTTATTTTAGCATGCAAAGCAAAACACATTCACATCGTCACTGTTTCTGTATATCGAGAAGGTTTCTCCTTTTGACATGTAATCAAGTTAGTTAGTGCATGGCAAAACCACGCAAAGCACTTCCATTTTCATTAATTTGCCTAATTGATGCACCTCATATTTCGAGCATTTTCTCTGTCCGACTTTGCTGCAAGTTTTGTTCTAGTCTTCGTCATTCATGTTATACCTGTGTTTCGGGAAGGTAAAATTCACATTGGACAGCTGGTTTAAATGCAGAGTGGGCATGTTCTGTCGGATTCAAGAAAGGCAAATATGTCGGCAGAACTTTACACGAACATTAGTACAATCATTTGGGACCGAGGCTCGTTTGTAGGGTTTAGCATTATCCATGATTACATAAACCGGTTGATCTGATGGCGAAATCATGTGTATATGTCTCAGAAGCTCCTCAAATAGTTCCTGGAACATCAACGATGTCACGCGTTCCTGTTATTCCTTTCCAGTAAAAGATTACTCCAAGCATGGAAACGAACATGAACGCATCCTACGTGGAGGACTCCAGAAAGGAGAAGCCGATTGCGAGTATTCAGTTCGATTTTGTCATCTTTGACAATGCTAGATCCCACAAGCGAGCTTCGGTTCCAGATGACTTCCCTAACGATCACTGAAAGTTTCTGCCGGCTTATTCGCCTTTCTTGAATCCGACAGAAGGTGCCCAAATCACCAATCAGAAATGCTTTGTGCGATTTCGCCATGCACGAACATACTTGATCAGATGTCAACGGAAAGAACTTATCGATGGGTAGAATCAGTGTCAATGTCCATGTGTTTTACTTTGCATAATAACATAATGATTATTCGCCATAAAATACCCAATACGTTTGTGCCCTTTCCTGCCCTATTCCTCATGCTCCTTAATTCCCAAAAAAGAGATTCCCTTGCGCTGCAGAAATTGAAATTGTGAATGCCGAAATCGAAAGTTACCTGCCCAAATTGAATGGGAAAATAGAGAGTAACGAAGAGCGTTCCTGAAAATGAATGGGGAAACCGGAAAAATGGAGGTGCACTGCCGAAATTGAAACGGCCGCTGCCGAATTTCAATGGACTTTTGCCAAAATTCGTCGGGAAAGCCTATATTACTACATGAGACCAAAAATTGCCAATGCAGGAAGCGAAAGGTTTCCTCTTTGGCTTAAATGAGCAAGCTCATGTAATTTTATCATCAATGATTTGTAAACTGAATCCGGAATAATATAAGCAAGTTTGCATGTGTTATCGATACCAATCAATTGTTCCCAGATCGTTATTACGCGTCTAAGAAGCAGAATATGTGACAGATTGATAATGAAATACATCTGATTTCAATTTTTTCAGCGAACTTGCTGTGTTGCTCTCCTAATTCGAAATTTATTCTCATTACACGTCATTCATTGAAAAGCAACGTCTTTCTTTAAATATTCCAGAAATTTTTTTTGTTGTGCAAATTAATATTTTATGCGTTTCTGTGAATAAAATAACTGGTTTATCCGAATAGTGGCTCTCCTGTATTAAATTCGGGCTCATTACTATCGGTACGCCCTTCGTACATCCACTCAAGGTTGAAGACTGGTTGAAGATGCTGCTGAGTCCAACCTCTGCTTTCTTTCATCGATTCTTTATCCCCTGAGAAGCAACTTTCTGAAAGGATTCCACATTAGTGAAACATTCAGGAACATTTTTAAATCCAAGAACGTTTCTTTACATGCCTAAATCATGCTGAAGTGTTGATATGACTAGAAGCTCTAAAATATGAGGTAAAGTCGATGGATTACAAACATACAACAACCCTTACTATTCTAATGTTATCTTTCGTACCATATTGATTGGCGGTTGATCATCTCAGAAGATAAAATAAGGATATAGCACATTTCTACCAGGTATAAACTTTTTTTTACTATTCGAGAGAAGTTCAGCGGAGAGGTTGGTGTTCATCCATCATTTTGGCCATCGTAATTACATACAAAACTCTCATTTATTTTTTCCATTTGCAGAAGAACTCGAGAAGCGTGTACAGCGTTCGATGAATAATGGGACTAAACATGGCGAATCGGAGAGATATTTCTTCATCGGCAAGTCAAAGATTGTGATAAAACCTCCGCAGCCACGTTTCTCTACTTCCCACGTACGTTTCATAAATGTGGTAGGTGTAACAGTGGGGGATTTCAGTTCCTTTCTTACTTGCTTGCTTTTATCTAGAAATCGGGTGAGTCGTTAATGATTGTGAATAATTCCTTTTTTGTGACACGTGTTACTTGTTAGTCGTTAAGAAAATTGTATGAATCAATGACATGAAACGCGGCAGTGAATGTTATTTTGATATCACTTCAATCATTTCTCGTGGGTGTTAATCCAACGGATGAACATATCCTGAACCTAATTAGCAAAGCACAATTTCCTTCCAGAGAGGCCTTCATGAATGTGGGCACGAAATATTCTAATTTAAAATATAAAAATAGTTGTGAGTGTGTCGAGATCAAGTCCGCCCATGTTGCATTGTTTTGAATTATGACCTAAGCACTAAGTGAAACGCAAGCGCTCTAGCTACAAATATATTCTCTGAAAGTATCTCTGGTCATGAATAATAATTATTGTTACACGATAAGGTTCGCTGAAATGCATTTATATTGTTGCGGCATGAGTTATAACTTGAACTTCTGCATGTTCGTTAAACTGGGTCTGTACCGCTTACCGCCGACCACCAGTATCGATTGCCGGGTGCAGCACTATCGACACCATCATTCATCGGCAGGTTTGGAAACTGCCAGAGCTAGCGCACAAAGGACAAAGTCTGGAATAAAGAGAAAACACGTTGAAGGGACCTGTTAACTGATTCTAAACTATAAGAACAATAGTGAAGTCTGTCCCGATTCACCAATGCTTGCATGTATGTCATTCTCAATAGTTGAAGGCATGGTAAGCTTCAATACCCACCTCCCCTTCCCCCGCACTCCGGATGAAAGGCACGAGGGTATGGATTGAAGATCTCGCCTCGATCAAGGCAAAAATTGAAGGAAGTCAAGCCAAAATTAAAATGACTGTGTCCGCTGAAATCCCCTCGGGAAGGATTCTTAATTAAAGTTAAAGGGCTAAGCATAATGCAGGACGTGCTTCAAAAAGTTATATGGTCACGGATTGCCCATATCATGGTAATAAACAAATCCCGGTTCAGCGGTTCCCATACATTTCCAATGAAAATTTGAATAACTAAGGAAAGAAGCCAATGCCTATCGGATTTCTCTAAATGCCTGTGGGTTAAGGGAATTTGGGGAAATATGGACTTACAAAATGAAATCTGGTCATACAGGTCCATCGATATTGAATTAGACTCATGAAATGTTACTAAAATACATATTAATATTTCATTTACTGAATCTCAGTAAGGCACATGCCAAAAACCGCATGGATATTGCGCCTTTGGATCTTTTCCAAGTTGGTTCCAAGAGGTCATATTACCCACATTTTCGGGGGAATATAGCAACTTCTAAAAAAAAAACGCCCTATTTTTTAGGTACGTGCGAAATATGTTGGAGCATGGTGAGTATCTTGAAGCATAATAAGTGAGGGCCAGTGGTTGAAACAGAAAAATATTAACTGCATTGAGGACTAGAAAATGATGAGACATCGTTTCCTGATGAAGGGACCTGTAGTGGAAAGCAGGATTGAAAGGCTCTTGAATTTGAGTAGCACTTGGCACTAGCTTGGGAGACTGCAACTAGAGATTCGATGTAAGAGGAGTGATCAATCATAAATCAAAGTTAACATGCGCTATGAGTGTAAAATAAGACGTCTTACATTGCAGGAAGATCGCTGCGTAATTTGTGCATGTGTGAATAAACAGTGTCAAAAATATCACAGGAAGCCCTTTTAGCTTTTCGTATGAGGGATATTTAATTGCATTCAAATGTCTCGCCACGAAATGCATCCCAATTTTTGGAGTATGTCAACCGAAGCGGATGTCCAGGAGGCGGTGCAAGAGGATATTCTCATGCATGGCCTCCTCATGTTCTGCGTATTTAGACCAAATGTCCAGTATGTCTATGAATATATCCAAAGGAAGTGTATTAGATGATATTTCGCAGTCTGAGGTCCCACATGAAAGGAAGCCATATTATCCAATGGCCGAAAAACCCCAAGTTACCTTATTCTTCTTCATTAATACCGATAAAATAGCAATAATAAGTCACAATGATGAAAACTTATTTATATATATTTTGAGGAATGAAGTATTTCTAACTTGCTTTTTCCCAGTGAAACGTACCAATGTGCAATTAAGTACTGAACCATTTTTGGAGGGATTTTATGAATTCTTATTGGAGTAGCATGAAGTAATGATGCTTTTCTTTTAAAGATATGCATTTCAGGGAAATATTCTCCCTGAATAGGAATTGGGTGAACATAGAAAGCAGAATCTTGGTTAGGATGCAATTTTTTGTATATCAATCTTGAAAATAAAAGTTCTTAAAATAGCGATTCACCCGCTTGGGGAAAATTTTCACCATAAATTTTCTTCCGATAAATGTTCATTGAAAGGAAACATGAATTTTAAGCAGCTCATGTACATATATATTACGCAGTTTACCGAATCACCTAACCATGAAGGAGAAATCGTGGGAAGGTGAGAGTGGTCTCATATTGATTGTCATGGTCTGAAACCATGCACACAAATATGTTAATTGATTAACTAATTTACAAGTTGATTAGTTTATTTCCCTGATGCTACTTTTTTGGGCTTTCTCTTGGATCTCAACGATAATTAAAACTGATAATTGAATTTGTCTTACTGATGATTAGCAATTAACCATGAGGGAAAGATTTCTGACGTGAACCAACCGTCGAATGGTGCATGTGATATATCGATCGCAAGCTCTTGAGTATATTGCATTGGTGCATATTTCAACTGAGAAAGATGAGAAAAGTAGTAATTTTAATGTGAAGAAGTATGTGTCGTAGGATAGGCAAGCATGAAGTGGAGTGCGCGCGAACGAAGAACATGGGGTAGCCATATTGAACGGAGGTCGAGTGCCCGTTTTCGTTGGAAGAAAAAACCTTATGTGTGGTGATAGGTACAGTAAGAAGCAAAACTGAATGTCCCGGGTTCGGTGGTGTAATGATAGCACACCTAACCGACTATCAAAAGACCAAGGTTCAAGTCCCGGCCGTCCCAGGCTTTCTTTCGTCCTGTCCCTGCCTTCGGTTCTCAAGATATGCGCCCTATATTCCTCCAAAAAAGGAACTCAAATACGACTTTTTCACGAGTGCTTTTGAGTATTTCCTATATTCCCTGACTAACTAACCTCAGAGAAAACAGGATGAAGGCAGATCAAGCAAGCCGCATTCCTTCTATGTTTGGCTGAACGAGCGAGAAAGTCAGTCTAATTAGGGGGATGATGGATCATGACCATCATTTCCCAAAATACGTTGACTTTCTCCCTATTTGGCCATTGACCGAACTGGAGAAAATAAAAATTGCGGTCAGCTACTAACCGTGCCAGAGCGATGAGGCTCAGTACAAAGAAGACTAAACCAGAAGGGCGTTAGAAAACCTGACTCGAGTACAGTGCGAAGGCCTGGGAAGGTCAGCACAGCTAGCAGACGCAATGACCCGGGCGGGGCGTACATCCCTTCTCCAGAATGCCCACGAAGAATACAGCCATTAAATCAATGTATTAATATTAAACACTCATTCCTCAACTCTCTCAGCTGGAACATGTATCACTCGCCTATTCATGAAGTATTTTCGTGCGATATATCCCTTGCAAAATTCTGCACTTCGGAAGTCATCCCAACCAGGAATTGTACGAGTATGTCTGTTGAAATTTTGTCACACCCGAAGCGGATTCCGTGCATGCGGGTGCGAGCAATCCACATATATAATACGCAGTTTACCGAATCACCTAACCATGAAGGAGAAATCGGGTGAAGGCGAGAGTGGTCTCATTGATTGTCGTGGTCTAAAACCTTGCACAAAAAATAGAATGTGTTAATTGATTGATCTATTAAAAAGTTAATTACTTTATTTCCTTGATGCTACCTGTTGAGTGCTCTCTCTTGGATCGACCAGGCAGTCTCTTTGATCTCAACGATGCCCTTCACACCTTGCATTTTTCTTACTGCTAAATAACAATTATCCATGAGGGAAAGACTTCCGACACGCCGAATGGTGCATGTGATATATCAATCGCAAGCTCTGGATGAGTAGATTGTGTTAGTGCATACTTTAGCTGCGAAATATGAGAAAAGAAGCAGTAATTTTAATGTGGAGTGACGTTGAACGGAGGGCGAAACTGCCACTTTACGTTGGAACAGAAACCCTTATGCGTGGTGATAGGGAAGAGAATTGTTTGTTCTCAGTTCTGTGGTGTATTGGTAGCGACTTGGACAGAGAGATAAGAGGCCTTGGTTCAAGTCCCGTTCAGCCCCCAATTTTTTTTTTTACCCAGTCCCGTCAGTCTTCCCTACCTTCGGACCTCATGACATATTCCTCAAAGAAAAACTCAACATTCAAACTTTTTCACGCAGTGATTTTGCGTTTTAGCCATATACCCTAACTAAATAACCTCAGAGAAAACAGGAAGAGCGAGCCGCATTCATTCTATGTTTGGCCGTATGAGCGAGAAAGTCAGCCTAATTTGGGGGATGATTGAGCAGTTGGATTAGAAAATAATCGTGGCGAAAGGCCACAACCCTTTCCTAACCCAACTGACCCATCGTTTCCCAAAAACAGGTTGACTGGCTTTTGACCGAACTGGAGGAAAGGAAATATATGTCTACTATCTGTGCCAGCTCGATGAAGGGCTTCACCAGGACAACGGAGACTAGACCAGAAGGGCGTAAGAAAACCTGACTCGAGTACAATGCCCATGCTTGGGAAGGACATTGCATAGCTAGCCGGTCCGCCAGCCACTATAAGCGGATGGAGAAAAAGACCTGATAGCGTAATCACCTGCACCAAACAAGACACTCGATTGCCAACCGAGCTCCCTGCCAAATCCGCGTGTCAGATCGAGCCAATAGTGTACATCCGCATCCCGTGCCTAGCTCAAAATCATCCTTTTATCCAATGCCTGGGTGCTGAAAATTTCAACTACGTGTCTCACTTGAATGCTACAAGGCGGTTACGAAGAGGCTACGAATAGGTTGGCCATTGATTGAAAATTTGCATACATCCAGTTGAGGGTTCCCAGATGACGTGAGGCATCCCCTAATATTCATGCAAAGTGTGGCACTTTGAAATTCGAACGTTATCCCTTTAATACTTTATTTTCTCTTACTGCTAATTACAAATTTGTCTTGAGTTATTGATGTCTGCTGAAACGTTGTTACCAGCGAAGCGGATCCCGTGGGAAGCGGGTGTGGTCTAGTTATAAAAATTATACTAGACGTCCTCCATCAGGCTGTTTGCCTGTCCCCTGGAGGCCTGCTATGGTCAACTTATTCGAATTCGACTCAATTGACTCGATTCGAATCCTGGTCCTACCCGACCCCACACGCGGCTCGTGGCGGGCCGACCGGGCCAACCCGCAGCTTCCTTAGGCCTCTTAAGCTTTAGAAATCGGGGTTTCTCGGTTTGTTCTTTTTCTAGTCGGCTTTTCTGACGCTTCCAGCTACCCCATGACGTCACATTCGGGCTGGCCTGTTCCGGGCTCTCAAGGGTCACAACGTATCGCCAGCAGCTGTAAGCGGCTGGAGGAAAAGACCATCTGAAAGCGTATTCGCCTGCACCAAACGAGAAACTTCTTTGCCGACCGAGCTGCCCGCTTGATCCGCGGGTCTTGTCGGTTCAATAGAGTTGATCCTCATCCCGTGCATGGCTCAAAGTCATCCCCCATCCAATGCCCGGGTGTCCCAAATCTCAATGATATGTCTCACTTGAATGCTACGAGACGGAACTCGCTGAGAAATTGCATACATCAAGTTGAGGGTCCCTGATCAAGTGAGGCATCTCCTATTATTAACCAAAACGTGGCACTTTGAAATTCGAACTTCATCCCTTTGTTACTGTCCTCTTACTGTTTATTAAAAATGAACCCTTAGTTCTTTACGTTTCTTGCAATTTTGTTATGCGTGAATGGTACATGTGATATGTTAATCGCAAGCTTTTCAGGAGTAGATTGCGTTGGTCCATATTTTATACGAAAATAAGGAAAGTAGTCGTTTTAATGCTAATAAGTGTTGGTTGTAGGTTAGGCTAGCATGGAGTTGCGTGCTCGCACGTTCAACCCGTTTTGGTTGAAACAGATAACCTTATGCCCTGTCTTCTCATAAGGAATAAGTGAATCACCTGGTTGCTAGACACTCAACCTGTTTCACCATTGCTTTTCGCTATAAGCCCAAACTAACCAACCTCACGAGACAGGATGAACACAGATCAAGCGAGCCGCGTCTTTCTATGTTTGACCTTTAACACCAAACTAGGGAAAGAAATCGCTGAGATCCACTAATAATGCCAGTGCAATGAAAGGTCTCACCAGAAAAACGAATATGAGACCAGAAAGGCGTGATAAAACCTGACTAGAGTACAGTGTGCATGCCTGGGAAGGTCATAGCGCAGGTATCAGACCCAAAAGCATGAGCGAGACACTTCACATGCCCATTCCAGAATGCTCACATAGAGCGTCTCTTTACATCAACACATTAATATGGCACTCTCATACATCAACTCTCTCAGCTGAAACATATACCACTATAATATACGCATACAGTATTTTCATGTAATGTACATATTGCACCATTCTGCTGGTTGTCCACCTCGCAAGTCATCCCCACCCAGAATTCCTCATGTCTGGTGAAATTTTGTTGAAAGCGGATCCCGCGGCCGCTGGTGTGGTCTAATATTTGATAATACTCATTCTTTCGGTAATAATTTCCGAAAATCCTTTATATTTTAGGAACATCACCTCTGGCCCCCTTTTATTAACCAGGGGAATTCCCAGTTTTTGTGCCCACGAAAAAAAAGACAAAGAGAATTGGCACTTGGTACACAGGTACCTGTTGATATGCATATTCAACGAGGATACATTCTCTCGGGATACTTTTTCGGGAGGCATAGGGTAACTTGGGGGAATATGGGCATTGGGGTAACATGGCCCTTCACAAGGAATCCCCTTATAGACTGAATAATTAGTTTGGGCGAATTTAAAAAATAGTTCTATCGAAGAGTACATGCTATTGTCGAAATGTGTAGACCTGTTCATCAATCCAGTTCCCACAGGAATTCGGGATACATCGATGTCTTAAAAGTCATATGCATACGATTCTTTGACTCATGACCGTGGAACTAATATGAGCCTTGAGCAACATAAGCGTATATTTCCTAATAGCAGCATGGATACAGAAACCATTACTTCTAAGTTCTTCTATGGTCTCTCCAGAATGCTTGTGCAAAGTGCTAGCCCCTTCACTTGCGGTTTGTAGGCAGTGTTGTCAATTTTGTAATGCGAGCCAATATGGGGAAATATGG